TGTCGAGCCGCCGCTTCCCTTACCCGATGCTGCTGACAGAGCGCTCGAGGGTATTGTCTCGCAGATTGTCAAAGACTTTGAGCAGATCCAGTGCATTGTCGAGCGCGATGTCATCCGTGCGGTTCTCTCTGACGCACTCGCGGACAAGGCTGCTATTGTCACGGTGCACAACACTTTTCTCGCCAACAGCTGGAACGTACCTGACAATGACCTGATCAAGCTTTTCAAGAACGCCATTGACGCTATGTGCGCCACGTATGTTGGTGTCCCCAAAGGCACACAGGCGTTTTACGTTCGAAGCAAGGCACTGGCGTCCACGGATATCATTATCCTCCGTGATCATTTTGCCCGCCGCTTCCACCACCCCGAGTTCTTGGGCAAGCTTGATGCGCTCATTGCGCTTGCATCGGATAGCATCGACACTGTGTATCTGCGCTATATTGGCACAGTCCGTGGTCCCAGTACCCCAAGGACAAGATACGAAGACGATGTCGCAGCGGACGTTGGGCTATTCTCTAAGACAGACCTTTTGATTAAAGAGATGCGTGAGCTGGGAGAGCTTGGCAATGAGTCTGAATGGACAGTGCACGAGTTTTCCAGTCTGCGCACCGCAGCTGCCGGATCCTCCGACTTTCGCATGCTCTTTGTCGAAAAAATTTTGATTTTGTTGTTTGGTCGCGACGCACTAATCAACGTGCAGCCTGGTGGCTTTTATGCCACATATGCACCTACAGCTGAAGACGTGGTAAGCGCGCACTTACGGCGCGGCTGTAATGTCTTAAAGCCAAAAAAGCAGTACTAACACATTTTTTTTGCAAAATCTCTGCCATATTTAGAGGCTTTTTACAAGCCTCAAGACATCAGTCTTCATCAACCTCCTCGCCCTATACTCCTCATCAACGATTGATCCTTTTACCGACCGTCTGAGTTGCCAGCACCCGCGCTTGGACAACATAAAAGCACATATGGCAAAGGTCTTTTCGTTCATCAAAGCTCACCCTCACATGGTGGCAAATCGAGACACCAGCGAGACATCCAGAATTGCAGTCGACACACTGCACCAAGCAATTCCCTTGACGCGTGATGTGTATGGCGGTACACTGGTGCTTCTGGTTGGAAAGGATGTGCCTCTCGAGGCCCTGGATCCCAAGGCAAACGACGTGCGCTTTTTGTTTGGTGAATCTCGCGCTGGGCACATTGCGCGGTCAACTCTCAAGGAGCTCCAGCAGTACGAGCAGGCGGGGCCATCGTCGACGGCTGTTGTGCAGCTCGTGAACCTGCTGCCATTCGTGGATTTGTATCCATGGCTGCTTCGTCACATGCTCGCCCGCGGAAGCCTTTTCCTGGCCACATACATGCAAATTGTTCGGCCTTGGGTAACCGTTACCTTTTCCGGTGAGGTCACATGCACCATTGCGAGGGGTTTTACCTTTTACGGGAGCTTTGACGGTCAGGGCGAGGCAGGGCGCAAGAACCTGTTGGACGACGTTGGCATTCCATTTATCGCTAGCTTTGATCCTTCATGGACAGAAGATGCACAGGCTGCTGGACCCGCAGACACCTCGTACACAGTCGGTGTTCCTCACTATCATCCTGGCCGGGACAAGTATGGCTCACAGCCTCCAGCAATGCGGCGAGTCATTTGGTTGACCTGGGTGTGCACTTTTCTGGTTAATGAAGAGGCTCACAACGTCCTTACAAGGTGTGAGCGTGGGAAGGGCAAAGGCGCTCCGCCATCTCGCCTCGACCTATGCCACGAAATCAAAAAGGCTGCAGATGACCGCATTGCAGCGACCGGCCTTCTTGCCACACTTGTGCAAGCCAAAGCTGCGCTGTCACAGCACTTTGCTGCGCAAAAGGCGCCTCCCGTGACGCCGAGTGTACTTGACAAGACCAAGGCCGGCCGCCGGATTAAAAAGGCAATTGAACGTTCGACTGTCATGACAAGGCCATTTCCAGCAGCGGCCAGGCCAAAGTCGAACGAGCGCACCGCCCAAGCCGAAGCGCTCTGGCAGCGAAAGATGCTACCGCTTGGCAAGCACATGCCTTACAACCACGATCCTGCTAACAAGGCGCGTTGGATGAGTTGAGTGATGGGACGCAGGGAGGGAGTCTCTCTCATCCATGCTGCACTCATGCGTGCTTGCACGCAAAAAGCTGTCAGCGCTCAGGAAATACGGGATGTGAACATCCTTGCTCGCTCTCTCGGATTCTCAGCAGAGGACCTCAAGGACACGGCCGCATTTGAGCAGGCATTCCAGGACCGCCTCGAACGTATGAGGGCCGGACGAGCTCTCTCCGATAAGTTCCAGCGCGCGCAACAATCTCGAGCCCTGCTGCGCTGGGGCATGGATCCGCAACATGTTTTGGAAAATTCCGTTATGGCGTTGGAAGGCCAGAAAGCACAGGTCATGGAACGCTCTACTTGCCGCTTCTTTACCGATGTGGATGGCAAACCCACACACTTCCGGTTCAAGGTTCCAGCTTCGTTGATCGAGGTCACCGACAAGCCGACGCTGCAATTCCGTGCTGACGGGATTCATCTTCAGGACGATGCAGGCAGGGATCTCCACATTCTGCCTGTCAACCGCATGGCATTTATGAAAGCGCAGGGACCCGCGCTTCAGCGCGTCTGGCAGCGTGAGTTACACGCAATTGGCGGCCCCGGTACTGCTGAGGTTGCCATTCCCCCGACACCTCCTGGCAGGCCCCTTTTGAAGTGGACGACCAAGTCTCAGAACTACATGAAGGTCGCCCCCATCGCCGAGGAGGATGCCATTTGGCTCTTCCACGAGTGGCTCGACGAGGTATTCCCCAACTCCAAAAACCACATTAACAGCCACTGGCGTGACCCCAAGAACCAGCTTCTGCAGTTCCCGGCCTGGATTGCCTCAGAGTACCTCAGACACCATCACCGCCAGACGTGGACCGATCTCATTCAAAACGCGTCGGAACTTGGAACTGCTTCTACCCAGGCTGTGAAGGGCTCCCTCATGGCCCTCCGTGGCGCGCTGACCATCACACAGTACAATGTTGCAAAGCTCAAAAAAAGCCTGTGTGGCAAACGCTGGCACTTTGAGGGCCCTCGCCCTGACTCTGCGCTGGAGCAGCGAACTCCTGAGTCCTGAGGCATCAGCGTAAAGTACTTCCTGCTCCGGTTTCCCCTGCTGCGGTCGCGGTTGCCCACATTTCCCCTTTTTCTTTTCAAAGCCGTCCTCAGTTTCGAGGTCGTCTCTTCATTTCCAAAAGTTTGTTCCTTTTCCTTCTTGCCCCTGATCAATGTCTGCATTTGTTTCTCCCACCCTATATTTTCCCCTAAACCCCCTTTTAGTCAAGTAGTTTAAATTGGCGTACAATAAAACCTTTTAATCCTGCAGGGGATTAAGAGCAAGTGACCTGATTTTCAGGAAATCACGGACAGTTGCTCGAAATCACGTCCTCCATGAATAAAACTATTATATTTTCAAACCCCCGCGCAATTCCTTTTCAACACAATGACCGAGAGCGATGATTTTGCCTCGGGAGGCGAAGCTATTGAAGAGCAGGTGGTGGAGCTAATGGACGCGCTTTCTCAAAGCAGCCTTGAACCACAGAGGCCTCTGCTCAGCAACTCCGCCAGCCTGAGCAAAAGGAAAAGCCGCGCATGGGAATGGACAGACGATCCCATTTGACCGAGCAGCACTTGACGCATACAAAGCTACGAATGTTTCTGCAAACACCACTCGGTCGACTGAGCAGTGTGCTGCTAAATGGGAGAGCTATGTCATGCCAAAAGGAGGCAAAGGCGCAGACGACACGTGGGAAGAAGCAATATTGGCTGACCATCTTGAGGCCTTTATTTACGGGCTCCGCAAAGACAACAGTAGCAACTACAAAGACTCAATGTTGAAGGTTGGCTTTGCCGCGCTGGCACGGCACATCAAAAAGCGCCGCAAGTTGGACCTGCGTAAAGACAATATTTTTGCGGGCGTGCACATGGTTCTCGACCGACGGTGCAAAGACCTTTAAGACGTTGGCTGCGGAGGCACCAATCACTCGGGCTCTATTTCCCTGGACGAGCTCGACAAAATTCTGTCTTCTAATCTATGCGACCGCAATACTCCGCGCGGTCTTGTCAACCATGTATATATTCAAGTTGCCTACTTTTTGGCAAACCGTGGTGGCGATACATACCGTACGGAGCTGCAACATCTGCAAAAAAAAAATGACAAGTGACGGCCGGGCCTAATATGAATATGCGCGCGGGCGAGAGAAAAATCATCAGTAAGGCGTAAAGTGAGTTGGGCGAGTTGCCCGCACCAACATTATTCTTCCTGGCTCGCCCACCGAAGATGTTGATTTTTACTTTTCCAAAGGGCCGAAGAGTTGCAAGCTACCATGGTTCTTCCTGGCGGTCAACACTTGCCTGGTACATAAATCAACGTCTCGGAAGTAAGAGCATGGTCAAGATTCTGAAAACTCTCTGCGAAGCGGTTGGAATTGACTCTGTTGCCCATCACATGACACCTCACACGCTGCGCGCGTCTGCAGTCTCCAATCTGCTTGCCAACGGCGTGGACTAAAGCACCGTCATGCAGACATCCGGTCACCTTTTGGTTGAATCACTTCACGCCTAAAATCAAATCACAGACCAAGGAAGAATCAAGGTTGTGCAACGGATGAATCGCGGTAGGAGCCGTGCTTCGTGATGCGGGAATCCATTTCAACGGAGGGATGGAAAACTGTACTTTTCACATAACTATTACAAAGTAGATAGCTTGCGTTGCTGTTGTATATATGCAGGATTAATGAGATATCAGTCGGGCGTTGTGTTTCTTTCAAAAAGGAGTTAGAGGCATTGCGGCTCGCTGTGACGCTCGCCTTCGGCTCGCCGGTCGCGCTCTGTGCGCAAGGGGCACAAGGGTATTTCTTTCCCACCGACTGATTTAATTTTTGGACGACATAAAGAAGAATCCCGAATAGGGTAACCACTAACAAAATAGAGAAAAGGAAAACCAAATCGCTCAATGGTCTAGTGGCACGATTCTCGCTTTGGGTGCGAGAGGTCCCGGGTTCAAACCCCGGTTGAGCCCCGAAAAAATGTTTTTTGTTTTTTCTTTGTTGCATATCGACGCGCGGTTTGGGACTCTGGAAGAAGGTTTTTTTGTTTTTCTTGCCAGGATGCGATATAAACCCCGGTCATCCGGGATGGCCCGCCTCTCTTCAATCACAGATTCCTGCTCCTCCCCTTTAGCCGCGTCCTGAGGGGCGAGGCACAGGTGGTAGGTGTCACTGTGTTGTCGGTCTGTTTTCGCCAACGGGTTGGCCCACGGATTTCCCGCTCGCGCCCTGGGCTGAAAACGTGCCGCTGGCCTTCATCTTGAGCAAGTGTATTACGTCGAACGGGCTAGGTGCCCAAGGCCCAGTGTTGCTGCTCGCGATGGGCTAGGCTAGGAGAATGCCGTGTCTCTCTTTTTTTGTTACTACCGGTGACGGCCGCTAGGGGCACTCTGCCTGGAAAGGCCCAGTGGACCCGCCCCCATGTCGTCTTTCCTTGGAGTTTTTTGGCGCCTTTTTCTTTAAAAAAAGTCCAGGGGCCCAGGCTGGTTGCCCACTGGTCCCTCGCGTTTTGTGCTTGGCAATGGAAATGCGAGAGTGTGCTGGCGGACCGCTAGATGGCCTGCCAGGTGCCTGCAAAAAGCCATAAGCCCGTGTCATCGTAGTTTAGTCGCTATCCACTGCCTCGCCCCTGTGAGGACACACGGGGGCGAACTACCCGTACTCTCTTTTCATTGCTGTCGGATTAAAAGACTGAGCAACGTGTGGGTAGTGCTGTTTGGCCCTTTTTTTTGTGGCGGCAAACGAGTGGCTTTCATTGCTGCCGGACAAAAGGAGGCGGGCGCCGGCTTTTCCCCGTGGAAAGTACGGACACCACTCCCCATAGTCCCCAGGGGCAGAACAAGAAAAAGAGTCTTCGCGTGCTCATTTGGAGTGGGCAGTTAGCAGCGGCAGCGTGTTGCCGGCATACATCTACTGTACCGGTATTACGATTCAGCAACAGGAGGTTGTATGACTCGAGTATGTATGGATCCATGGTGTCGTTGGCAAAAGACAATTCGCAAAGGCTCGCGGCTGTCCTTTTCCCAGCGGGCCAGGCGCAAACCCACAAAACGAAAAACCTCGGCTTTTCGTGACAGCTAGTACGCTTCCCCCAACCCACTTCCTAGAAAACATTTCTTTTTCTGGTTTGGTAAAATCGTTTGATTTGATTGGAACAAGAAAAGAAAGTGCAAGGGGATAGGACCAAAAGACTACATAGTAGATAACTGTTTTTTTGATGTGAATGCGAATGAATGAATGAATGAATGAATGTGTGTGTGTGTGTGTATGCAAATGTGAGTGTGAATGCGAGGGGGGGTATGAATGAATGCAAGGGGGTATGGAAAAGCTACATGCTAAGGGTGGTTTTGATGAAATGCGGACAAAAAAGCAAGGCAGAGGAAGATGCCAGTAAAGGGACGGGGCCTTGGGGGGCTGCGGCTTTTTTTAAGCCATAGTCTTCAGCTCTTTCGGGCACCAGAGGCAGCGGAGGGACTCGCAGCCGGCAGACTGGAACTTGGTCTTGCAGCACGTCTCGCAGGTGGCGACGATGGGCACGGGCGCGGGGGTCGGCGCAGGGGTCTTGGGGCACCAGAGGCAGCGGAGGGACTCGCAGCCGGCAGACTGGAACTTTGTCTTGCAGCAAGTTTCGCAGGTCGCAGCGGCGGGCTTCTTGGCGTCAACGGGGGCAGGAGCATCATCGCGGGCGGCGACGGTCGGGGCGACGGGTGCGGCGACGACGGCGGCGGCGGCGGGCTTGTTGTTCTTGGGGCACCACAGGCACTGGAGCTTGTCGCATCCGCTCTTCTTAAAGTTGGTCGAGCAGCAGTCATCGCAGGTAACCTCGACGGGCTTGGGCGCGGCTTTAGGGCACCAGAGGCACTGCATGTTGGCGCAACCGTTTGCCTTAAAGTTGGTCTTGCAGCAGGTGTCGCAGTTGGCGACCTCTTTGGCGGGAGGAGGAGGCGCGACGTTGCCCTTTGGGCACCAGAGGCATGCGACACCCTTGCACGAGTCGCCGGCAAACTTGGTCGCGCAGCACTGCGAGCAGAGATCGCTCAAAGGGTTGGCCTGGAGGGCGGCGGTGGTGGGCTTGTTGCCAGCGGCGGGCGCGGCGGAAACGCCGACAGCGCAGACGGCGGCAATGGCGAGGAAGAGCTTGGAGAACTGCATTGTTGGTTTGTTGATGGAGTAGGCGGGAGAAGGCGAAGAGAGTAAGTAGGAGAGAAGTAGTAGAGAGGATTGGAGAGGAGAGGAGAGGAGGGCAGAGGCAGTTGCTGTTGTGTGTTGAGCTGATGCAAAAAAGCTGGAGAGGAGCTGCCGACCACCCCAGCTTTATACCCCGCAAGTTTGGAAAAAAAAAAAAAGAGTAAAGGGCGTCGACCTCTCTTTTTTTTTTTCCAGCCGCCGTCGACGCCGACATAGCGGCGGCGGTTCTATACACGCGAGCCCCGCTGTCAAAAAAAAAGCGCATGTACGCATGTACGCATCGGAGAAAAAAAAAAAAGGAAGGAACCTGAGCCGCGCGGAACATGGCGCCGCCACGCCGGCCGGCTGGCCCCCGTCCGTCCGTCCGTCCGTCCGGAACGAGGGGGAAGAAGGCTAAAAGACAAAAAAGGGCCGGGGGGGCAAAGGCGTTGGTGTCGCTGTTCCAGGCGGCGGTTTCGCCAGCAACTTCGCCGGCTCTTCGCGTGCAATGCGCCATGCTGTCGACAAAAAGCTGTCAAGGTGTTTGTGCAACCCACGACGGTTGTGTTTTCTACTTTTGTTTTTTTTGACAGCAAAAAAAAAAGAAACCCGCGCCAGGCCAAACGAACAAAACCGCAAAAGCGACAGCCCCGCCGCCCGCCGCCCGCCGCCCGCCGCCGACAAGTTGCAAGCCCCCAACTGCGGCACTTGGCAGGCAAAAAAAAATTCTCTGGAAAAAAAGAGAACGGCAGGCAGGAGGCAAAAGGGTCCGGACCGCCCGCCTCGTGTGGGGTAAGGCGAGAAACAAAAAAAAAGAGGATATGATATCAAGCGGGCTGGCTAGCTCGCTGGCAAGGGCGTCGCAAAAAAAAAGGCAGGTTTCCGTATTGGGACGCAAAGTGTGCTGTCCCCCGGCATTGACAAAAAAAAAGCCCCCAGCCCTGCAGCGACGCCGAACGGACCTTTGTTGACCCGGCCACGTTGACACTTCAGGCCAATTGGAGCATTCACAGCCCGACGTCAACGCCGGAAACTGGCCTTTCCAGAGTTCATCCGGCACCATACGCGACGACGCTTTGCAAGCCAGCTCAACATGATTTCAACGCTCGCTTGGCGGCAAAGAATCTAGCCTGCGCCTTTAGCCATAGGTGGACAGGGTCATAATTGAGGAACTCCTGTCAATGATCATCCTGACAGCGTTTGTTTGTGCTTTTGTCTGCGAGCGTTGGTGCTTTGTCATTGGGACCGCGAGTTGTATTAGCCAAGCGGCTCCATTTGTGCTGAGCTAAGCGCTAGACTCTTGCTGACAGCCAAAAACGCGCCTACAACTCCGCCCTGTCAGAAAAGTTAGCCAAAAGCCGGGTATGGTATTATATAAATAGCAACTGGGAGTTGGCTTTCCCCCACTGGGTGCGTGAAATCCTCCAAGATTTACGCATAATCTTATATCAACCCCAGTTATCCCCAAATCTTTTTTTACCAAACCATGCGTTCACGCCAGCTCGCTACTACTATCCTGGTGCTCGTGTCGACACTGTTCATCCTCGCGGGTCAAACGGCGGCATGCGGTTGCTATGGCCCCACGTCATGCTCTCTGCGCGGCATCCAATGCAAAAAGGGTATCTTTACATATATGCGACAAGACGACCCTTGCCTCTGCGACTGTTGCCAACCCTGCAACGACGTAAGGAGGGGGGGAGCCTATGGGAATAATTGAGAAATCGTTTCCTCCTTACCAATTCTCATCCTTTTTTTTTTTCCGCGCTAAAAAAAAAAGTGCTCTCAACTCCTCGCTGGTTGTGCACGCGAGCTCAACACAGACATCAAGTTCGTCCCCTCCCTACACACACTCAAAGTTAACAAACCCATCAAGCCGCGCACGTTGCAGCCAAAATCAACAACAACGACGACGAAGGCGACCAAGCAACACAATCGGAACGTAACGACGACAACACACCGACCACTGGGGCTGTTTGGCGAACCGTGTCTCGACGGCGAACTGCCTGCGGGTCTGGAGCTAGCGTATGATCAGGACAAGGCCACGTTTGTGCTGACGGGCACGCCGACAGCAAAGGGTAAAAGCAAGCTGGGGATTGTCGCCCGTGGCGGCGGGAGCGTTATCTACCGTGTGGATGTCAGAATCAACGTCAAGTGATATTTTCCCCGCAAAGAGAAACAGCAAAATGCTGGACTGGACAAGATGCTCGTTTTATTTATTTATTTGCTATATAATGCATAATGTTTTTTTTTTTTTTTTTTACCAAAGCTTGCATAAAAACAAGTGGAAAAGTGGACAAAAGACAGTAAAACTCTTTTTGTTTTGTTCTCAAAACCATTGATATTTTGTGCATGAGAGAAACGAGAGCATTGACCAAAAAAAAAAAAAAAAAGAGAAGGAGATAAGCGAATGATGGGGCAGATGTTGACAAGTTATGGTACAGGAGGAGAAAATACCCCGCGCTTCTTTGTTTTGATAAAAACAAAAAGAGAGGTATAGGCGGTAAAGCGGGCGAAAGGGGTGAGGAAGCGAGCGGGGTAACTTGAAAATGATGAATGAGGATCTTTTTCCTTTTTGTCTTTGATTTCTTTTCAAGTGCCTTTGAGCCAGTCGCTGGCCCACAGCTCGTTTGCGCCCCATCTCTCGGCGACTTTTGGCCGCAAAAGGCCACGAACAACCTCCTTTGCGGCCTCGGAGCATCCCGACGCGTCGAGCTTGGCCTGGTCCCACCGGCCATTCTGGATGCTCAGCTGCAGTCGTGGGATAAAGCCATCGTTGAAAGGTAGCGATCCCGTCAGCATGGCAAACAGC